ATCCTGTATATTGGGCCACATGTTCTCATCCACATCACAACGGATATCTTCCTTTGCAATGCAGCGTGAAGAGATCCTCCTAGAATGTCTTATCCAGCCTCTGCGGGTGCCTGCTGCTACATCCCCAAACACAGCTTCCATGGCAGCAAGCAGTGTCATTTGTGTATGTGGGTTACGGTCATATACCTTCCACCTCTGAAGAACTCCTCAGTTGGGTTGAGGAATGGGAAATATGGTGGTTGGATTTCCATCAGCATCCTGGGGTGGTAGGCAAACCATTGCCTGATTGGGTTGGAGTGATGGAAACTCACATTACCACAAATGATCACATACTTTGGTACATTTTCCTGACCAATCTCCTTTTCAGGAATGAGATCCCTATAGAGGGTGTGCAAGAAGGTCAGCAGATGTTGGGTGTTGTATGGCCCCACAAGAGGGATGCGAGTGTGGACCCCATTGTCCGAAATAGCCGCACACATGGTGATGGTCCCACCCCAAAACCTGCCACATCAACAGTAGCTCTCTGTCCAATCAGATTACACCCACGTCTCCTTCCTTTGGCCAAGTTGAAGCCAACCTCATCCATGTATATGAAAATGGTGCAGGAATCATTAGTATTGTAAATACATACCAAAAAAGTTTTGTAGAAACCTATAAAAATACACTTGATAGCCAATGATATCTTGTTCAACACTTTTGACTGCAATGACTTACACAATGACAAAATGACAAGTTTGTCTGGAGTGTAAGACCATGCAAAAGAGGGCTACACAATCCATTTTGATCATTGTGACAGAAGCAACCGCTGATGTATGATATAGCTGAGAATTGCACATAAGCATCCGCCGGAGTGTAGTAAAGCAATTGCAAAATGACGAAAACAACCAGAAATTGCTGAACGAGCAGTTTTGAGAACTTCAATTCTGTTGTGAGAAATGCATCAAAGCAACTGAGAAAAACTGTAAATACAATATGAACTGGGGAGAGCTTGACTTTTTTCAGTCTAACCTGATGACCCACAGTGATTATGCTCATCGCTGACCCCTCAATCACAGCACCGATGGCGCCGTCTACAAAGCTGCATGTTGTCTTATAGGCGTCCGTGACACTTGTCCAGGTGGTTGATTTTTTTTCTCTCTGTGACTCTCTGCTTCACACCAGCCTTACATTATTTTCGCCTGTATTTGGAAACTGCCAGGGTGGCTCTAAGCTACGGTTACCAAGGGTGACACCCCTAGAAAATATGTGGACAGCAGTGTTGCCAGTTTGTAAAACTAGCCAATCAATTCAGCAGCCCTGACCGCCATCCCCAGACGTTTTTATCCCACGCACTGATTGGCAGATTCTTGACGTTACAATAGGCAGAGTCAGACAGTCCCTGGAGTAAATGTGGATAAGGGTCATGCTTACAGGCCCATCGCCCTGCCAGCCGAGGGACTTGAACCGACAACCTTCCAATTACAGGCACAGTGTCCTAACCTAACCCCCATTGCACCTATCTACAGGTTTCATTACCCCCTGCCAACATATACTTAAAAGTGGCAAAAAATACAGGTGATACCAGCAGGCTTTGTTCATAAGAAACTGACAAAATGTTGCATTGGGCCCCCATTACATAACATTATCTTATAATTTTACATATTCAAGGGCCACTGTAAAGGGCTGGACCCCCTGAATCTGCCAGGATATCCATGGCCCTGCACCACCCCTGGATACAGGCAGGGTTTTTTGACCGTTTGTGACTCCTGACATTTGGAAGCGCTCTACTCCGTTTTTTAAAGGCCAATAGCGATAAGGACAAAACCAAAGGTAATGATTCTCCGCCACGGTCACGATGTAGTCTGTAATGTTTTAACAGTTCAGTATTTATTGACATTTTAAACGTACACAGATCACCGCATCGCTGTATTTAAATAATCAGCCTAAAGATCCAATGGTTGTAAGAGGAACTGCGCCCGATTTTCAGACGCTGCTAGTAGTTAATCGATGCGCCTTTGATTTAAAAGTATCTTAAAATGAACAAAAAATGTGGCTAGTTAATAGCCTACCGCAAATCAACGATTACGTTTTGCCTATGGAGAGTAGGCACATAAACTCGGTTTGGTCGGAGTAGGGAAATTATTGTCAGGTAACGTTACCCTCGACGGCGAATATCAAGCATTTTATCACCGTTCCTGAGAAATAAAATATCTTTAACTTATTATAACACGAGTTTTTTTGGCGAGGGAAGTATAGGCGTTTTGAGGTATGAAAAATACTAACTTAAACTATTTATATGAGTTACGCTTTATTTCCCGCTGTAGTAATCCAAAAGAAGTTAAAGTAACGAAAACAGCAGTTAAAAGAAAAATATAGGCCTATTAGTTTATGTCGCCTTTATTAATTCTTGTAAAATAAATTATATTATGTGTTACACTTGGCTGTTTACACCCTCTGGTTATACCATTATTCGTACATATGGTGCTAACTAGCTACGCACGTTTCTTTAAATGTATTTTTAAAGACATTTATATTACTGTTAACTTACGTATTGGCCTTTCTATGGCTGCTGCCTGTTTGTGCTTAGACCCAAAGAGACGTTGAGGTTCCACGTTCTTCTCTGTTCATTGCCACCAGGTGGCGCCAACGACTTAAAAAATGAAGATCCACCGCCGGTTTTCAAATCTTTCTAATTCGTGTGGACCTTGTATCCTTCGATACAGGAGCGCAGTAGAAGCACTTCACAGAGGTCCCTGAATACATAAAATTGTATATTGTGGTGGCCCCGAATTTCTAGACACTGTGCTGTTTGTATATCTCACAAACTGACCTAGTCTGAAACAAGAAATCTGCATTTCTTATTCAGTCAAAATTTGGAATAGGATTGTGTGATATGACAAAATAATATTATCACAAAATAACCACATTAGTAAGATGAATAGGTATTCATGGATATACCAGCATCCCTCAGATTCTGAGAACATTACTGAGGTCAGCTTCTCATACCATTATGATAATAAACAAACTATTAACCCAACAGTGGTGTCTAATCAGAATAAAACTCAAAAACTGAAATTGACAGATATTGTACAGGTGAAGATTTTCTGAAGATGCAAAAAACGTGTACTGAATAAATTAACTAGTTTATTTGTTCGTTTAATACATTACAGAGTATCACACATGGGAGTTTGACACATCACAGCATATTGTAATAGTGTATGTGTTTTTACAACAGCAGATAACACCAGTTAATCTTGGATTTAACAGTGCATTTATTTGGTGTTTTTAAGATTTTGACGTACATTAAGAAGCTTTGACGATATCACATTTTTAACATAGTTAGCATGTAAACATTAACCTAACCAGCTGTGTAAGATGATGCAGACATTATTAAAGTCAATAGCAATGCTTGTTTGTAAATGTTTCCATGGACTTAGCAATCAAATAAATAAAAAAACAAAATAGTGTATCTCAGATACAACAGGAGGAGCTTGATTTAACCATTTAAAAATTGTACTGACGGCTGTCATTTGTCAGGACACACAATGAATCAGAAACTAGGACAGGCCTGGGTGTTCTTGCTTAAGACGTTTAAAGGTGTGCTCGACAAAACAAAAGGTCAGTAAAATCCGTCCATCCCTCTCAAAGGAAGTACTGATGTAATCTCTCCCATTTCTAACCTTCAAAGTATGTGACAATCATGCCGTTCATTAGCCACTCCTGGCACAACGCACCATGTCAGACGGACAGGAGAGCCAATCCTAGGGCTGGTTTATGAAAGTTAAGGCGGATCAGGCATGCGTGTAATCTAACACTGAGAAAAATGGAGATTTACAGGATTGGTCCAAGAAGCACTGACATGCGGTTGACTCAGTAGCATTGGTTTTCGTGGAGAGGCAAGAAGAATGAGAGAGATTTCAGAATGGATGCGCCTCCGTCAGTATTTATTGCTTTCAGGCAAATCTAGCTTTGTGTCGTTTTTCTATTTTCACAAATTCCAGGAAAACGCAACCTTTCTGTTTATTGAATGTTACGTGTCAATTTATTTACCATAATTTTCATGTATTTTGTTTCCTTCCCAATTACATTCAGCTTCCGGTGTACCATCATCTAGAATTTGTGGGACCACACCCTCTGCAGTCATTATTGAACTGGTACTACCGGCCTCAGCCAAGCCCGTGTAATGCAATGGAAGGGATCCCAAACCCAGTTTGCCACACTACGTGCTGTGTTGTACATTGCCCAGAACAACCTGTTTCTGCAGGAACTGAGTCACCTGGTTCATTAAGTCAGGCAGCTGTTTAGGGTGAACATCACGGCTGTATTTGAACATCGGATCGGCTTCTCTTCCAAACGACATCCAGCACTATGGCCTGGACTACTAAAGTAGTCGTTAAAACTGGATGAATGAAGAAATTATAGGTGTGATTTGAAACTGGCTTTGGCAATAACTTTCATGTTGTGAAGCTTTGATAGGCGACTAATGGTTTTTCCGTCAAAAGGGGAGATATGCAATCAGATTAAGTGTTAAATTTAATAAGTGTGAATCCATTTAAAATGTCATCGAATGCACTGTGTAAATCTGTGAAAAGTAGCACTGTAACATACATCTGTAAGTAAAGGAAAAGTTACTTTAATTTTTACCAGAAATATTTAACAAATTCACCATCTGCTAACAATTTACTGAAAAATATATATTTTGGAAAAGTATTATAATACATTCACATTCAGAATATTATTGTGCATAATTAAAATAAAACAGCAGAGGCAGGAATTGGAAGAAAAAAAAAAAAACTCCTTCATGTTCTTTAATAGAGGTCTGACAGATTCTCTGTTATTGCATGGTTCTGAAATCCTCGGTCACAGAACATCTGCCTTTGAAACAAACATCCACAGTGCAGCTGGCAGGGGACAGATGGACAGCAGCATCCACCAGGCTGAGTAACACAAAATCCACTCCCCCCCCCACACACACACATGCACACACTCAGGCACAAATATGCTCAGGTCAAGCTGTCATCACACGTACACAGGAGAGTGCCACCTCCCTGCCCACCTCCTGCATGTCATTTGTCCAACACACGCTATACATTCACCAGGTAAAACATACACGTACAGTAACCTTAATGTGAAGCTGACGAACAGAAAAAAAGGCTAACAAAACTGTAATACGCGCTCGATTTTTCACATCACGAAACACTTAAGGCGGTGTTTCTCAATCCGCTCCTCAGTGAGCCCCAGACAGTCCACGTTTTTGCTCCCTCCCTGGGAGCTGGGAGGGAGCAAAAATGTGGGCTGCCTGGCAAGGGGGCTGGGAGGGAGCAAAAACGTGGACCATCTAGGGGGTCCCCGAGGACCGGGTTGGGAAACACTGCCTTAAGGGATTAGGGGATTTATCCTTCATTGGAGAATTATTTAATATCACCGCCTATGCTATTAGGTTACAGTGACAAGTGTGCTTAGGGGAGTCCATCTTCTCTGTGTGCTGCGTGCATGGTGGCCATGCTTGCTGAAGTACATGGTGAGTCAGAGCTGACAAAGCACCTTGAAGAAATACTATCCACGCCTTGTTCTGCGATGCGCAACGTACCAAACACCAGCTACAAGTCCAGCTTGTGCCGTGACTCCACCATATCAGTGGAACCTCAAAAAAAAAAAAAACAAACAGCTTCTATAGCAATAAGAAAATAGTCGTCAAAAGAACAGCCAAAGCCGTTTCCAGTCCATTTCACTAGCCACGGATGAGATATCGGAGCAATAGACTGAGATATTATATAAACTTATATACTACATCTGTCACTTGTGTTTGACTTTTAGATCAAAATAGCCCACTGTGTAAACCAACAGAAAACTTACCCCAATTTCAAGAACACTAGGGTAAAAAAACTAAGTAGTTCTGTGGAAAGTTTTTTTTAAACCACATTTAGTCTCTAATAAAATAAAATAGTTAGACAATGAGATCCTCAATGGTGCAAGTAATAGAGCAGCTGTGAGTATTTTATACGTTTAGGTCCTCAGGCACCGTCTGTCGTTTGTATTCTTTGTCTTTTTCACTCCCCCCGGCTGTCTGAGGCTATACCAAGTGTATATGTGCTTTCTGTCGAGCCTCGCAATCCCAGTCCAGGCTCGAGGGGCTGTCGCTCTCGCTGTCCGTCTCCTTAAAGAACTTGTCGATCTTGTCCCCATCCAGGTAGACAGGGCGCTTGGGAAGGAGGAAGTAGTGCGTGGTGCTGGCCTTCTTGCCGTTCTCCATGATAGGTAGGATGCAGGGAGAGCGGGGAGTCTGTGAGCCCAGGCTGTGCTGCCTCTGCAGGGCCCGGCTCACGTATTTGGGGTTGGGGGCGAAGCTTTGGGTGGCGGGCATTACGCCGTTGATGTATATGGGGAGGCTCTTGGGGCTGGGAGTTCGAGGACTGCCGCAGGATCGCGGCTCCCTGGGTGGCACTTTGGGGGGCTTGTCCTCGTCGCTGCAGCCCCCGGAAGGCACCTCGGCCGACCAGCGGCGGAGGTCGGCGCCCTTGGATGGCCGCGGCGGGATGGGGATCCGCGGCGGCACCTCGGGTTTATCTTGGGCGCGGGTGCTTGGGTTTGTGCAGGAGAGACGCAGGCCGGCGGGCTTGTTCAGGGAGCCCACAGGCCCCGAATGGGAGCGCCGCAGCCTCCGCTGGGGGCGCTCGTGCTGCCTGGGCACCTCGCGGGTGGCTGGTTGCCGGGTAACGGGAGGCGGTGCTTGAGGAGATGATGGCGCCTCCTCCTCCGGGACGCCCCCACCGCTTGGCCCTTCATAGTAGGCATAGTTGATCTGCCCGCAGCCCCTGAAACTGCGCCGGCTCAGGGCACCGTAGCGGAAGGCCACCGGCTTGGCGCACGACTCTGGCACCAGCCGCTGGCTCTCGTCCGTGCTGGTGAAGAACTCCACCTCGTTATCCATGGCCTCGTCCGAGGAGAGGTCCGCCGGCCCGGGAAGCGGCGGAAGGGGCTTAGTGCCGCGACCCGATGTCAGAGGAGGGGTGTGCTCGTACACAGACAACCGCTGGAAGGAAGGAACCACCTGGTCGCCTTCTGGGGAGCTGAGGGAGGAGAGCTCCGGGCTGGGGGTCAGGGTGAGATGGGACGGCCGGAACTTCTTAGGGGGGAGACGCTGGGCACCAGGGCTCTGCGGCGAGCAGGGGAGAGCCGACTGTCCTGCAGGGATACATCACACCAAACGCCGGTTAGATGACACCGCTCTCACAATTAGCTTTCTCATGAAAATTCAGCACTCATTGAATACATCGCTACATTTTATTAGACTCCTCCTCAGTAGGAGAAACACAAATCAACTCCTTGGGCAGCTCCCGCGTATTTAAGGTTTTTTTACTTTTGTTCCGGGGTATTACACATCCAGACAAAAACACTTCCAGCAAAAACATCCCAAACAGCCACAACATAAACTTGTGGTATTATTACTGGGGGAGTCATTTTCAGCGTGTAAATTCCCATGACCTTACTTACTTCTGACGGTACCACCATAATCTTTTCCAGCACCGTTCCTACAAATGAGGCTAAGCTTATCTCTGGCTGAAGCTTCCTTGTTAGACTAGGTCAATGTTGGCTGCTGCTACACGGACGTGGAACATCTCGCGCATCGCCACCCCTGTGATTTTATTATTATTATTTTCTTATTATTATTCACAACAGTCTGTGAGCTCGGCTAAGTCGCAAACGTGAGAGGTCCTCCGCTGAGCTAGCGGGATGCTCTCAGGGTTATATTCATAAAGGAGCACAGCTGCCAAACCACCATCTGTCTTCCCACATAGCGCATTAAAAAAATGACAAGGTATCCGTGGCTGCAGTAACGATAAAATAAATATCTGCAATAACATTGTCTGTGTCATAAACTGGTCTATGCTGTCCTGACTATGCACGACCAACCGCTGAACTGTTGCAAGCCTAGTAGTGCTGACGTACAAAACCAACACAATTTTCCAAACGTAACAAAAAACTTTTTTTAAAATACTGGTTTTGATGCTTTTATTTGTGATGCATTCTAGTATAACTTCTTATAAATTAAAGCATGTATCAATAATTTTAACGATACTGCAATTAAGGTAATCTTAATACCACTTTCGTTTTTTTTCTGTATAAGGAGCTTCAATAGTTTATATTTGTGTTCCTTCAGGTAGCTATTTGCTATCTGATGCCGAACCAGAGATCTTGTGAAAAAAAAAGCGTTTGTGAGAGTCGTAAATGTACCTGTTATGTCCGGTTGTCTAACCTGCGGTTTCATCCCCTCAGCTCCTGATCTACATTTGTATGTTTATTTGTTTGTTTGTTTGTTTGGCTCTGGTGTAGGGCTATGGACACATTGTGCAGTTTGAAGACATGGGTCTGATCTCAAGGCAAGCCAAACCAGTTACACTAGATGTCATTTTCTTACCAGTTTAACTGGGTGAAGGGTATTCCTTCAAACCCACAGCTGTTTTAAACAAGCTAATCGGCGTGCATCTTTGATCTAAACCAAAATGCTGCCTTTTATCTGATACAACCCCACAGTTTTTAAACATTCACACAAAAAAAATCCTGGATAGCAGGCCAGCACCCAGAAATAAATTCTGGGGGTGGGGTCAAACCTGTAATCTTACTTCGTGCCTACATGCCTGCTGGAATGAGCTGAGTGGTCACTGCCCCTAACGACTCTCCCACGACCCTTCTCCAAACTCCCACCCAGAATAAGTCAATTTTATGCCTCTGTTAAACTACGTGTCAGAAGACCGGCGCTTAACCGTTACATTACACGAAATACATCATTTCAGCTAGTCTGCTATGTCAGTCACATTATTAACGAACAATTAATTAATGTAGCCTATAGCGAATGAGGGCAGCCGGTGTTCTGTCATAACATCCTACCTATCGAGACGTGCTATCGAGCCTTTCTGCGCATGTGCAGTTCCACCGTTTTGGGATTAGGGTTAGGTTTTAGGGGTTAGGGTTAAGGTAGGGGTTTTTGGGGGGTTATGGTTGGGGTAAGAGTTAGTGTTAGGGCTATCGATTAGCACTACGGTAGGATGTTTTGATAAAGTAGGACGTTTTGTCACAACACCGAATGGAAAAATCCTGCTAAACAAAAGGCTGGCCTTAAATGCCCACCATATACTCATCTTAGCCGCATACAGGATGCCGTGCTGGCCGGTAACATGTACTCACCGTCGTAGGCGTCAGACACGGGGACCCGCTGCTGCGATTTCAGCCTGAACTCCGCTGGCGCCGCATCCAGCCCGAAGCAAAGGCTGCGACGAGAACAGCGGCGTGATGGAGCGATACGGATAATCTCCGATTCGACTGAGCATAAAGCAAAGCACCATCACAGCCCACATATCAGTATACCGCAGATATACTTCTCTAAAGCAATGATGCAATGGCCATTTGGGGTAAAGCTCTTAAATTTCGCCTAGGTTTATGTTAAATCCGTGTCTAAAAGATATGCATATAACATGTGCATGTTTATCACCTTTGTGTTTACTTCCCTTTTCTGAATTTATTATGTTAGAACAAGTAGAGCAACTGAAAACTGTAGGTAGTATGGTTTTTAAAAGCATCCTGTTAGTTGCAGTGTAATATTAACATGCATACACGGCTACTAGTAAAATGTATAGTAGAAGCCTCCTGCTTCTTTGTGAGTTTCTCAACGCATTATTAACAACGCAAAGGTTATATTACTATATTGAATTTTCATTTGAAGTGCTGCTTCGTCACTGTATAACTCATCTGAACTATAATTTACGCAAAAGCCATTAAAGAAAAAAAAGTTTTAAATGCCCACCCACTTGTTGAGGTCGTGCTGCTGTTCCCAGTAGGACCTGGCGACGTGACAGCGGCTGCCGTGCGCGAAGGCGCCCCTCAGCGGCGAACGAATCCCCGGGACGCTCAGGCTGGCGGCGGACATTGTCCGGTTGTTCTGGGGTCTCATCCAAGCCCGGGAACACGGGGCTAACTTAGCGGCTGGCGGCCGGCATGCCTACAGAAAAACGGGGAGGCGTGAGGCGAGTCGCTGATGTTGACCGAGGGGAGCGGATGCAGTGGTGGTTAAAATCCCTCCTTTATGCAACAGCGCCCGCTTTTTCCCCTCGTCATTTGAAACTCGCCGCTTACACGGCCCACAGAGTCATCGGGGGGTGCCCCCCCTCTCTGCCCCCCCTCTGCCCCCGGCTGCACTGCCAGCCTGCTTCTGCAGTAATTACAGCGCTGCGGCCATCGGCCATAGAAGCCCCTTCCTGGCCTCACAACGGGCCGATTGTGTGACATTCTCCACGGCTCCCTCGCCCTGGAATGACAAACTTTCGGTTTGACAGAGACACTCACACCCAGGCGATCTCTCGGGAAAAGGCGTCCTGCAAAAAAAATGCATGTTGTGCGCGAAGACAAATTGTATACAGTCGCTTGACATGTAATGAGACACACGCCCCACCGAGGAAGTTTCAAAGAAAGCGATGGGACAAGGAAAAGCTTAAAGACCCCGACTGATTCAACGGAGACCCTCGTTTCTGCATAGCACAAGCGAGTATAGAAAACGGATGGATGGATTGTGTGCACGGACAATCCATGTAAGCCAGATGAAAGACAAGTATGCAACTGGCGGCCTTTAATAAGAATGGCAGCAGGACAGAATGTCCCCAGAGGAACAACAGACCTGACTTTTCCTACAGTCAAAACAGCTCACTGTGTTGCAACACAAAAAAACATTTCCCCCATTTTCTAAACAATGTCTCAGGTTACCCAAGAGGTCCGGTCATATTCACATCTCACTCAACCATATAAATACCAACATTTATTTAACCAACGGATTAATTCCATCATTATAAACCACCAGATGGTCAGTGGTGGTTGAAAGGAAGTAATCTATAATTACTGACATTTACTTAAGGTCTTTACGATGTTTCCAAAGCTCGAATCAGTCACTCGCAAACTAAATTTACCTCATTTAATAGCAGGTGGAGTTACACTTCTAATAGGCCTTCAGTCGTCCGGAAATAATCAACGCGATGTACATTGAAAAACATAAGCTTCCCATAATCTTGAATGTGTCTGTTTTGGGTGCCGTTCCCATATTTGGGTCTCCTGTTCATAATGTTGATGTGCTGTCATATGCTTCCCTTAAGTTTTGAGTACCAGCTGAAGAAACACACTGGGACTATAATGCTCAAAAAGTCAGTAAAGCTCGGTTGGGCATATTTATTTTGTTTTCTGACAGTGAATTTAAGTTGAGTCCTTAACGTTCCACTGCTCAACATGTATTAATACTTCGTGTAGTCTATAATCTGTCGGTTAAACACCGCCAGCACGTAAATGACCATTTATCTGGAACGTTCACTACATATTCTTCATAGGCTACTAAAGTGATACCCCATTAAAGCATGGTAATTAACAAGTAAATAATGTACAGCCCATAAATTCCACTTTTCCATCAGCAATAACATGTCCCTGATTAGACCTAAATGACAATGAAAGAAACCAACAATAAATAATTCTTCTATAAATAACTGCATGTGGATGAACAGAACGCCTTTCAACTATGAAATGCTCTTTTAAGTGATTTTTAAAGCTTTTACATTTTAAAATCTCCAGAGTACTTTCCGGTGAGATCAGAAACAAAATTCGTCATGATGCCCCCCCCCCCCGCCCTCAACACAGCAAAGGTATGGTTCTTGGTTACTGGGAAAGCACTGACCACGCAACCAGGGAAAGCAGCCATGCTCGAAGGTTCCTCCGTGTGACTGTCTGGAAGGCGAGCAGGTGGCCCGTGCCAGACCGATTTGGACTGCAACGGAACCCCGAGTATGCGGATATTAGGTGGCGAGGGGAAGGGGGGAGACTTCAACACCATCTCACCATACATGTAATGTACCCCTGTTTACATCGATGGCTGTATTCCCCGTTGAATCTACGCCCGTGCGGACAATAAACCATTCATACACCAGTGGTATGTGCTTTCTCCTCATAACAGGTGCAAACTGCGATCCTCCTCTCAGATCAGCGTTTTTCACAGCATTTGCCTAAGACCACCCTGTAAATACAGGAGCAGCGTAGGGCCAGGAACTAGCTGCTGCATTGCGACCAACTAGGGTCATAAATCTCTTAATTAATTAAACGAATAAGGTGCTAAAAACATCCGTCCATCCATCCATCAATTCATCCATCCATTTTCTCTACCAGCTTGGGTATGGAGAAATGTGTAAGTTTGCATTCTGGATTTATTTTCATTGCTAAACATTCAGTACTTGATGACAGTAATCACGAATGTTTTCCTAGTCATGCAGTTACGGTTTTCTTTCCGTCCGCATGATAGCAAAGCATTTTTCAAGGATCGTTTTTTAAATATGTCATCTATCCACTTAATTTAAACGTACGTTACTTGCAAGTGAAAACACATTATTTCGTTTTGTATCAATTAAACATGCATCCGATACTTATTACTTTATTAGGTATTGGGGTAGAGCTTACCTCCAAAATTATCAGTCGTACAACTTCATGTCATTTTAGTTATGCTGTATACATATATCAAATGCCCCAAGGTTATGAAAGCTCTCTAAATAGTCCTTTAAAAATAGGCAGACGTGTAAAAAGGAGGAAGAAAAATACACACCCTGCCTCTCACACCCCGCACAGGTTTCTAAGCAACTATACCCGCAAAACCTGTGCTGCAAGCGCATCATCGCGCGCTCCCCTCTGGCCCAGCACGCGACTGGCCAGAGTAGGTGACTCAGGTGCGAAATACGTCCTATAAAACCTCGCGCAGTTCCACGAGCAGCCGACTGATGCAACGAGGACAAATATTTTCGTATGTTTTTTCCTTAAAACAGCTGAATGAATGAGTAATCGTAATGAATACTCAGTCCTGAATTATTCCAAAGACATACCAGGACTACACAGACGCAGACGCATTAAGATATACATCAGTGCAAATTATGGGGGGAATGGCGGGGGGCGG